TCATCTCCGGGGGTGTAGCTCACATGGTAGAGCGATCGCTTTGCATGCGATAGGCACGGGGATCGATACCCCGCACCTCCATAATACCAGTGATACTCAGATGACAACATTTTAATTTTGCCGCTATTAGTTGTCAGCATCTTCAGCTTTTAGAAGGAAAATACAGAGTCGATAGTCAACAGAGGAAAGACAGTGAGATGACTCGAAGATACCTTTGAATGAGGGAGAAAGGTCACATAATTCCGGTATCGCCTACGAGCGGTAGGCACGGGAATCTCTACTCCGCACCTTCATTTCCTCGTTCTGCACTTGTCCCTACGTGGACATAATTTTCGATGCGGGTGCACAACTAATCAACAGCTAGACCTTCTAGACGGCAAATTAGTTTCTTCAGCAGAACTAAAGACACCTCCTGACATCCAGTGCTTGATGTAAAGAAGCACTCCGACCGCTAAGGTGTAAGAACGAGAGTGTACCTCACATGGTTCAGCGATCGCTTGGTGAGGTTGCCTCGCAACTCCAGAGGAAGATCACCAAAACGCCGTGAAACTGCAAAATATCCATAAGGGATTTCATTTTTTGTGTGGTGGTGTAAAGAAGTTACAAATAAAGTCACATCACACAAAGGATCCTTCAGGTGTACTGCAAAGCATCAATGGAGGTGGCAGCTCTCTTGGTCATCGAATGATTCTTGGGTATATAATCTGTGCATGTTAAAGAACAGACATCTCCGGGGGTGTAGCTCACATGGTAGAGCGATCGCTTTGCATGCGATAGGCACGGGGATCGATACCCCGCACCTCCACTTGTTTTGCTCTTCTTTACTGCGTATCTCGTCGATGATGAAACCAGGAAAAGTCCTTCATGCCCTGCTGGCTCGTCCCATTGTGGATGAGAGGAGAGTAGAAAGGGACAGCAAGCAGGTCAGAGGAATCGTACATGGCAGCCATAGCTGTGCATGAGCCCACGGCTTGAACATGCAGAACCTCCAGGCAGCTTAGAAAAGCTTTTCGGAAGAGAATAGCAAACTGGATAACGAACTGGATCAACAGAACAGAACTTACATGAAACATCCAAACTTACAATGAAGTGAATACATTGGCCGAGAACAGTGGATCGAGCTCAATCACACAAATCTGAAATGAACATCTGAGATAAGCTCATGAGTGATCTAACAACTCAGTTGGAATGAGAGATTAATGTTTCCATGAAGAGTCTTGGAAATCAACACTCTACTTCTCCGTAGTCGCTGTGCCTAACCTTACGTGAACATACAGGAACGCTTAATGAGTGATCAGACAAAATCATCTGGAAGATGACACTTCGGTCCCCATGGATTCAGTGCTAGATATGATACTCCAGTACTAAAAATCAGTGCCGAACATACCTCACGCGTGAAGGCACATAACACACAAATACAGAAGTCAGTAGAATCTTCGATAGACTCACATGTGATCTCTGCAGCCTACGGAGGTAGCAGCGCTCAAAATGAAATAGATGATGAAAATCAACACTCACGTAGTTTATTCAGTGTGAAGAAACAATAACAGGAAGTCGCGATCAGGAAAGGATATATTGTATAATCAAAATATGACGCAATTACGTACGACGAATTTTCCAAGGACTTGTCAAGCACTTTGAGATCAGTGACCGAAGGCGAGGATTTTCAGCTCGCTCCACCTCACATTTGAGAAAGTTGAAACGTGTTCAAAGAGAATGATATCCTGACCTACACAACACAAGCAACACAAGCAACAAAACAACAGGGATCATGGATTAAGATAAAGAGTAACTGAGCTTGATCAATCAAGTGACTGTCCGGGTCCAATACGGAGAAAACGATGACATGTGTTGATATCCAATTTAGGAGCTTCAAAGGACGCAACGGGGAGTTGGAGCAACTGTAGACGATGGCAACACGTTTTTCAACTCTCGGCGGTGTCCGAGAGTAACAAGCTGAGGCCTGAAGACGAACCACTGCGGCGAAGAGAACAGATGAATCTGAGAAAAGATAAAGCGGAGACGTGAATACCTGGAGGGGGGGAATGCCATGGACTCCTGCGGTTCACCTGATATTTTATGATAGATGCCACCGATAGTTCAACATCGATACCTCGATGCTAGCGAGTAAGACTGGACTTAATATCTCACATTTGGTAACTACCTCCGGTTGATGGTGCTTATGAGGAAACCCTGTTAAATCCAATTACGACGAGGAAATTCCTTCCGCGGAGCCACAAGTCGAATCATCGATGAAGATCTGGTCTCTGACTAGCTCGCATGCAGCACCCACCAGAAAACTAACCAGTCATCAATTCTACAGCTTCCAGTAGCTGCGATGTCAGGGTGAGGATGACTCCGCGCTTGACAATACACTAAAAACAGGCCAAAAAAGCTTGCAGACTTGAAACTCAGCCGACGAGTCCCTCTCCCCCTAAAGAAAAGTATCAGCTTTCCGACAGTACGTGTCAATAACCAGAAGTCATCGAGGAATACCAATCAAATAGACGAGAGATTTCATCTCACAAGGAACGACTCGCATACCAGACGGCAAAGACATGTTCAGATAAAACGACTCTCCATGGAGACGGCATTCTTAGATATGAGCACAGGACAGAGACGGACAGAGACTGCAGTCGATCGTCCGAGACTTGCAAGGACGACACACGCGCGGCAAGTTGTGGAAGATTATTCGAATACTGCGAGCGAGGAATACAGAGCTTCGGTGGAGAAATCCCACTTTGACATACGGTGTATTAAAACAGGAAGCTGTAACAACCTTCTAGGAGGCTGCATTATGAGGAATTACAAACACATTGAATCTGTTGAGTAGAGTGCAAAAGCGTAGTCCCAAGAGTTTTGTTGTTGAGACAAATATATTTTGTTATCCTATGTATTGAGTATGAGTAAGCGTTGCTTCCACTTTACGACAGATATGCACACTGATTGTTATTTCCACCTGGAACGTGGATGCTTATCCCAACACTTGTCGATACAATCTATAACACATTAATTGTAGTGTAGGACGTGATTACGAGATTAAGTTTAATTGTGTACATTATTAAATTTAACTCAATCCTTCATCTTTGCGAAACATTAAATGGCTTCATAACTTCCTCCATGAGCATGGGCCAATGGAGGAAGTTATGTGGAGGCATGGAAGGGAAAACATGAGCAACAGGGAACGAAAAGGAGTACAAGCTGCTAGAAGCACTAGTGTGATACAGCAATGAAAGAACAACATGCCATGATAATAAACATGAACAAAAACAAAGCATCAGTGTTGAAACAACTACCGTAGACCGTATTATGCTACTTGTTTGAAGTAGACTCCTTGCGTACAATATTTATTGTCACATGCAGCGACTCTGTGCTGCCATCTCGCGGAGTCCTGATCATTGATTGTGAATCTAAATTTGGAGGTTCATTACAACTATTACTCAGCGCCGTCAAATTCATGTACTGCACATTGACTATCATCATAATCGACTTCGTTTCGTGTGATTCACAAGTCCCAATCTCTAGTGACAATTAATGCTTTGCAGTTTCGACGACTGAAATGGGCCTCCACGCATTCACTTCATGCATACCAAAGTCAGAGGATGTTAGATTGAGCCGGCACTCTGGCTCGTATCTCTCTGTTCGAATTCTGACGTCATTCTCTCCAGACCGATTTCCGGTGTGAAGAAGATCTGCTTGCGAAAGAGTTCTGCAGAATGTGCTTGTGATTACAACTGCACGATTAGATGATCAATCGGCTTTCGCCAGCTCGAGTTCCTTGGAAACTGTCACGCATCTCCCGCTGGTGTGACAGTTGGGTAGCTCTTGTCAAATTCGAGTTGTATGGCTAGGGTCATGGAAGCAGAACTACGCCGGTGTCATGGAGATTGTTCACATCTGGACATGCAATTCTGCTGACGACAAGTTTTGTCTCTTAAAGTTCGTGTTGACTGGAAGAAAGACTGATTTCTTTCGGCGTTTGGCGACGGCCATTGGATTGTTCAGCGAACGATAAATTCGCTGGTGAGCGAACTCCGTGGCGATTGCATTTTACATGAATTAGCTATTCATCACGTGTATGGACCACTTGCTCACGGAGTGAGGTCCTGTTCAAGCTGGAAATGTGCGTTGAGGAAGATTATCACCATGACGAGGATGCTGGAGGTAGGATCTGCGTGCTCTCCGGTGGCGCTCGACGCACTGAGGTTCGTCGTCACTTCCTTTCCTCCTTCTTCCAGTTACTAGATTTCTGAATCCTTTTGGGGGCAGAAGCATACATTAGACTCGCTGTCACCTCCAGCTTTTACGCCAATTCCACTGCATAAAATCAATTCCCTGCAATGCGTGAAGTCATGACGGCCGAGAGGCCGAGTTCTTCTCTCGAGGTGGGCACTTCTTACATCTGGCAACGAGGTCCGTCCCAGGTCCAGCTCGTGATAGAACTACTCGAAATGCTGGACACACGATCTTTGGCAACCTCTGTGATACTGGGTCCGAGGGAGGAATCCGACGTCGAGGAGATTGCTTCGTATAACCCAGACCTTCGAGCAAGGAAACCTCGAGGCAAAATTCCTATCAAATTGCCCTCCACCTCGTCAGAGAAGGTGGCCGAAACAAGATGAGACAAGACATGAACTGCAATTGCCGGCCGTGGCATGTGCAAGGCGGATCATTCGCGTGAGAGCCGAAACTAGCACAGGAGGCTTTGTAGAGCATGCGAGAATTCACGATTGCAAGGGAGGCTGAAAATCCGCAGAGTCCAATTCTGGGCAGCCGAGAATGTACGTCCGCTCGTGCCTTCGCCTCTGCACTGGAGAGTCTCCAGTCTCGGTACAGGAGGCTGATCTCCACTGGTGCTCGGAATGAACAGTTTCAATGTGACTTCGTTTGTATGCAGCACCTGGTTTCGTCGTCTATGATGGCAAAGCATAAACCCATAAGCGCCGTAACAAATGATCAGAGTTCTCTGTGTATATAATCCTAAGCGCAAGGCCAGAGAAGTATACCTTTCTCGGCCTTTTGGCTAAGATCAAGTGTAGTATCTGTTCTTATCAGTTTAATATCTGATACGAGGGTCATCGACCCTCACGATATTAATCTTATTTCTTTCAGGGTGCGTCCCCAATCGGGCAGCTTGCTGTCCGGGGGTCGCCAGTGTCGCCTTGGTATTGCACTACCTCCTAGGCCGGCGCAGCCCACCCTCTTCCCACGAGGAGACCCAATCTAAACCAATTAGGATCATATCTTGTCGGTGTAACAAGGAAAGTTTAGTCATCTTTGATGGCTCACCGAACACTCTTACTCTATGGAATGGATGTAATTTTATCTGTTGGCTGATCGATCTCTCTGGGATTAGCGACCACGCAGCAATCGACCGATCTGAAGGTCTTTGATGTTATTGTTTCATGCGTAGCGTTGTTTGACAGGATGGTCCAAAGACAGCGTCGAAGCAGTCATCCTCATGAGCGGACCTAGTTTGTGAGCCGATCGTATCGAAGTCACAGAGGGGCGACGCTTCTCCAGAAGATTGGCCGAAGAGCATTGCGCTGTCAGTTGTTCAGTGGTCGAGAAATGTGGCTCTTCTAGCAGCAAACTCTACTGGATGTTCGACGATGGTGTGCATGAGTACACGAGATAGTGTTCATTGAGTGTGACGTGTGATTACTTAGCCTTCAGCCACACTGCGATGGACGTATGCCGAAAGTGAAGAATCATGGTCGTATCGAGTTACTCTTATTTTCACAAACTAACCTCTCGCTTCAAGCATGTGTCCTCAATCAACGTCACATCATCGATCTCAAAAGAGACTCGGGATAAATTAGCATTCTTTCAAAGTTCTCGTAAGTTCTCAGAATCAACTCAATGCGCCGATGTAACAATCAACGTCCCACTTGTCCATAACAGGACCAAAACCTCTTGGTCAAGTAGAGCCACGCACGAAACGAGGTCATAAATTCTGGAGCCTTGTGGGCGGTCAGGAGATGACGCATGTAAGTCCTCCGGTCACCGAGATGCACTCCTGATGGCTTCATTTTGAAAGACCTGAAGATCTGCAAGAACCTTGAACCTCACTCAGGCATCCATACCTGCCTATCACAGTGTGGATCTTTCCTATCGGAAATGAGATTGGGAAAATAAGATGAAAGAGAGTGATCAATGAAGTCGTACATAAGGATTACACTGATCATTACTTGGTCTAGAGTATTTGCCAAAGTTATGTCAAGTCTGTAGCTGTTGATTATGACATTTGATGGGAAAAAAAAGAAGAGGGCAACTATGTTCATGGATCGGGCATTCAACAAGGCTTCATGATCAGGTTATGACGGGGCGAGCTGAGTTCTTATGACTACTGCTCGGATTCAGCTCATCTCCTCCAGAGTTCAAAGGCAGGACAACTATACACAGAAAACGCATATTGTTCATATCGAAGTAGAAACAACAACGCAACTCTTTCAAGCTCTCCTGCAAACCACCGACTTGAGATGAGAAATCACCGGGACAGCACACCTCTCAAACTTCCACGACTGTCTTTTCAACCCGCAATGTCTTTTCATCAGCATCATTCGTATTGAAGAATATGAGACCAGGACAAACCAACAGCAACTGATCGTGAGCAAATACTTGGGTGCTGAATTGATTTCATCAACTCGTTACTCGGGAAGACCGAAGTGACATATACTGCAACTCTCCCAGAAGATTTTCAGAGACCAGCGAGATGTCGCTGGTCATCACTACCTGGCATTCTAGCGGTGAGATTCTTGGAGTTGCATTTGGTTCGCATTATATCATTGAACAAACGCAACCATTGAAGACATCGGTGCGTCTAACTCAGGCTACATATGATTGAAAATTGAATCAAGAGAAGGTAATTTGTATAATCTAAAGAGTTACAGGCTTGAAGAATTTCAAGATTCCTCCCTGCGTTGGGGTCATGGGGGACGAGTTTTTTGCTTTGAGCTTCTTGCCTCCACTACTTCTATCGGCATGTCCACTAAACTTAGACTTGCTTACTTTGCCTAACCTACTTCTAGCAAAACTCTTCCCTGCAGATCCATGAGCAGATACGGGACGTGGCGCTTCAGCAGTGACGAAGTCATCAGAAGGGGAGGTTTCGCGTCGCTGGCAATTTGGGCTTAACTCTGTCAAAACCGACGACGAAGACTCGTCTTCGTCCTCCATGGCGGGACCAGTCACACTTCCGGTCTGAGAAGCCAGGTTTGCCTCACCAATCACCAGTCGAATTTTCGCAGGTGATAAAACTTGACAATCGCTGTCATCACCAGTAGTCTCCCGCAACGATGTCAGAATGGATTCCCCTGCAGAACAACACGTGCTCGGGTCGTCTATCTCTTCAGCAGCCCTCTGAACTTCTGCCGAAGCTACTCTGGAGTCTTGATGAGCCACGGGCAGTGAGCAAGAGGAGTTTCCGGATGCTTTTCGTTTGAATGGATTCTTTGGAACATTCGCACTCCATGACTGACTTGCTTCGCTGTTGGATCCATGAGCTGAGAATTTCAGCTTAGGAAATACGGCGTTATCCGCTTCAGTGGGATCATTACTCGTACGTTCGGAAACTGAACAATCTATCTCTGAGCTTATTTGTACTGCAAAACAAATCAAGCAACGAGTTCAAGTTCGAGCATAGCATCAGATAAGAGACCCAAAATGCTTGGCCTAATCAATTTAGAACCCAGTTAGTGCAACCTTTTCAATGAAACAGCAAGTGATTTCATATGTCCAGTCTACTTGCGTTGAACTCCTCCATCCAAAGGGCATAGCAATTTCAGACTGAAATCAAGTGTTATAAGAATCGAAATCTTCTAGAAAACGCTACGTTCAGAATCTGGCGATACTACGCCTAGTGAAACACATAGTTAACTTACCATTTGTGATGTAACCTTGAGAGGCTTCTGAGTTATCATCATTACCCAAAGGCCTAAAAGACTTTGTCGTAGAAACGGTGTGGGTGTTTACTACCAGAGAACCTATGAGTTCCTCCGCAGTTCCACACCAAAATGCTTTCTGCAAGTCCGTCTGTGACTATTAGTTATAGCATCGATGCAAAAAAATCTGTATGATTCACTGGCAACTGTAAAGTCCTCGTAGTGCAGTCATCTTTTCCATGTCAACGACTAGCGGCAAGTGACAAAATACTCACTTCTAATTTTCATCAGAATTAAACAAATTTTAGCAACTTGGATGGTGGTGAGGCATTTTCATAATGCTGAATCGTTACCTCTGAGTCAGGTTCGATTCTTCCATCAGATTCAGAGGCTTGCAGTGGGGGTGAATCGAAAATATTCAATGTTTTCCTCTTTGAGCCGAACATTGAGAAAGCTGTTGCCGGAAATGTAGCTGGTTTTGAACCTTGTCTTGAGTTGGAAAGCTGCGAGAACTTTGGAGAGCCTTTCTTCGAGCTATACATTGAAAAAGGTGTTATTGGAGACGGAGTGGAATCCAGGTTCTTCTTGAACTCTTTCTTCTCACCAAATGCCAACCCAGGTGTTTTCGGTGATGGAACTGAGTTGAATGCTTCCATGGTAATAGGGTCAAGTCGCCCTTCAGCAATTGCCTTAGCTCTGGATTGTGGCAATCCTCTATAAATGGTTTGTAAAGGAAGACAACAAGTGCTTTGAACACTGATAACAAGCGGCACGCCATATCATGCAACAGTTGCATATAAATCTTCTTACTTCATGCATATACTTCTTTATAAAAAAACAAAAAGGAACTCCAAGTGCACATACTGTGCTACATGGATTCAAAGTTGTCATAGATGGATACGGTCCAAGAAAATCCGTATCCCCATCAAATTCCTCCAACAACTCTTCTGACAAGGGATTCAGCAGTACCAACGATCTCTCCTCACGGTCATATCTGCAATGACATGATATAGATCAATCGCTTAGAACTTAGGTTGTCAAGCATCACCCCATAGATACAAGGAATAAAATACGAACAACAACTGTAGGGTCAATATCGGCAGCCGGACGGATTGTTTATGAAGAAAACGATTGCAAGAAGTAGTACTCATCCGATCACAAAATGTTGAAGCTAACGTCTGTCATCATCATATGACGGGATTGTCAATGCAGTAGCATTGAATACGAAAGTCTCCGAGCCATTCATTTCTGGTGCTTACACTCGCGCATGGCTGAAGATGGCCTTTGCTTGCGAAAAGTCACTCATGTAGTTCTCCGGAAAGACTTTTGGCTTCTCCATCTTCAGTTTAGATAAAACCTGCGTCGTTCAAAAGAAGTTAACTACAGATCCACGTGGATTTGGAACATACGGCACCTTAGCATCAAGAAGAGGTAGAAGGAGTCCACTGACAGCAAAAGATATGATGCACTTCTCCTTGCATGAACTGGATATTGACAGGTATTGCATCCACTTGCACCAAAAATTTCAAGGTAGCAAGAATCTATACCCGAGGAATACTACGATACTTGGCCAGAAGGGCGTGGGCCCGTTTAACTCCTATGCCAGGTATTGAAGGAAGAAAATCGCAACCAGCCATCACACACATTCCTGCACATAACGTCCTCGAAGGTCAATAAAGTAGATCACGATCAAAACTACATATTCGCAGTAAGTAAAATACACTTGAGAGTAAGGCCTGTGACACAATGCTTTGATTGGAAAAAATTCAGACCAGCCAGCATTATTTACACAAATCATATTAGCAACAGGAAATCTTACCAAGAAACAGATCCTGAGTGAAACCTTTGAAGCATAGTGACTTTGCAGGAGTTTCTTCACATTCAAATAGTTTTTGTAGACAAATCTCCTCACAATGTCCGTATCTATCCATCTTAAAGAGCACCTATTGTAACCTCCAGTTTGATTAGTAATGCCATACCAGTTAAACTTCAACAAAAAAAACATTTGTCTGCGACTTGTCCAGATATCACATTCACGAATCAAGATGAAACCATCTCTTACCGATTTGCAACCGTAAGCAAGGAGATCACTATCCTCACTGATCACAGCTACGATTCCTCCCTTTTGCTTTGGCAGGCCAGCAAGATATGCCAACTGTGCATCTGCTTCATATGGTGCAACCACGAACTCGACACCTTCTTCTCTAAGGACCTGCAAATATCAGTATCTATAAACTTTCAAATTCTCATCGTAAAGTTGGAATGAAAAGGCTGGCAAATTTACCTGAAAAACATTCGTAATTGTTTAACTTGAGGATATGTAAAAGATCTAGGGTTTTGGGACAATGCAGAGACAAAGTAAAAGAAGTGGCGAACAATAATGAGTAGAAAGAAAAAGGAGGAAGAGACAGACCACCGAGAAAGTGCCAGTTAGGAATGTGTACCTCAATCAGCTCATGAGCCATCGCTGGAGTTATCTCCACCGATCTCTGTAGACGACAACAAATGTGAGAAGAGTGACAAAAACATTCACACCCTACAGTCTTTTTCTCATGAATACTCCTGGACCCTATATCCTCTTACAGTAAAAGTATTCATTGTAAGAGGATATAGGGTCCAGGAGCGCTCAGTAATCAGCAAGACTTAGTTGAAGGCAAAACAGCTCATTCTTAACATGACTAGATGACCAAACCCACCTGGAAAAGCTCTTGAGCTCCCAGCATATCTCCATCTGCTTGTTTCCTTTGCGCATTCTCCAAGTTGGTTTCTCTTCTCCTGCTCAAAAATTTCCCTTTGTCAGTGAGCCTAATGCAACTGCCATCTGAATGAAGGAAGACATCATAGATGTGGACACAAACATTGGTATCAGTCCACTTTCGTGTATTAAGGTAAAACATGCCGGAAATGACTCCCACATGTAGTTAAACCTTTCCGACATTGTCGTGGGCCGCGAACAACTTTCAAATCAAGGGTAACACACCATCTGATATTTTTGCAGATACATACATGCAAGCAATATTCGTACCTTCTGCGATCTTGTTCGGTCATCGCCTTCAGAGGTAAACGGCCACCATCGAACACAACAACTGGAGTTACATGGTTGTATTTAAGCATCCTAATCCGGTGCATGCAATAATGCACATATGCCGGTAATCTTCGCCTTTTTGACCTCGTATCATCCTGATGGAGTTCCATGCTACAGGCATATGCTGCACGTATGGATCCATTGACATATAAGCAATGAGTAGACCAAGAAAGAACAGAACAGTCATAACATCTGCCATGACTAGAGATGATGCAAGAAGATGTTATGAGACAAGCATTGTGCGTGTACAGAAGTGACGAGGAGGTTAATGTCATTCATCCTCTCTATAAATTTCTACAGGAATTGAGTTGATACTATAAGTTCACTCATCCGTATTTTTGGATTAAAGACATGTAATATGATATAATTCATGAAAAGAGACGACAATTTCGTACCTCCTTTATGGAGCCACGAATAGGCATCGATGCCAACCTGAACGATGCCAAACCAGAACAAACCACAGTTGGTCCAACTAATCGGTTTCCAGTTTTAGAATCATGACATTGGCACACACTGGATACATATGGTGAAAAAACAAAAAGTGAGGTAAAGATCATGGTAAACTAAGAAGATGGTACACATACGTACCCGTTGTCCACTGTACTTTTTGACGTGCACAGCTTCAATATACGGCTTCAGAGCCTGCAACAACCCCTGTATTCCCATTTTGAATCGAGGCAAGAGACTCGTCACCTCATTCTCTCAGGTAGCTGCTGCAAATTCGAGCCGAACACTGCATTTTCGTTATTTAGCATGAAGAAAGTTTTGCATTACTTTCCTGACAATCGAAGAGCCGAAGCTAAACCGCCATTCGTGAATCATATCTGGAAAATCACACATGTACTCGAATTATCCTCGTTCAATGACTGCAGATAGTACGACCAAGTCTTTCGAACAATTACTGGCTTCAACCTGCCCTAAGACCCCGCATATTATCCAAAGGGGACTGTCAATATTGTGGTCATTGTGCAATCTACAGACTGCGCAATTTCCACAACTCTGATCAAAGATCTGTCCTTACGCATCAACAGTATTTTCCTAATTCGCGCTTTCAGCTCCTAAGCAACACAGCTCTGGAATGACTTCTCATCCGTGTGAATAATAGATTCAGGCCGACGTATTGTCACCAACAGCAGGAGAGTTTCGTTAAACTGGTCAGATTCGGGAAGAAAGGGAGAGCGATGAGATGTCCAAGGGTGATGCCTACATGAGCTCAATTGCACAATGACAGCTAAAAGTACCCTCGAAATCGAATGGAACCCGGCTGAATTAGGAGCATGAGGTAGTTGCTAGCATGTGCAAAATTTATCCAACAAAATTCTTTTCCACCACTCCAATGCACGAGGAACCGCACTGAAGTCTCGATTCAAGAGAATTGGAATAATCCAATTCATGCGCAGCTCATAAGGATCAGTCTCACCCACCTGAACTCTGTACCAAAGGAAGCAAAGATCCGAGACTCCCAGCAGACAACAGGACCTCGAATTCCTCGTCCATTCGCAGCCTCGATTTCCCCAGCACAAGGCGGGAGCATCGGTGGGCAATCAGCACAGATTGAAAAATTCGAGCCGCAACTGCCTAGAGCGCTTGTCGAAATCCAACTTCCGAACTGCAGCCTCATGAACGCACTACCTCTTCAGAATGACGAAGAAATTCCATCCATCGACAACACTGCACTCAGTCAATGGCGGGGGGGGGAGGGAAGAGACGGTGGGCCCGGTTCAAACATTCCCGCGGGCACCTTCTCTGTGGGTGGTGGGGGGAAGCTAGCAACGTCGCCCGGGCCCACCCGGCACCCCAAACCCGTGCAATAGGAAGTGGGCCCGGCCAATAGCAACTTGTTCAGGTGCTGCGATTCGCGGGTCGGGGGGACGACGGCCCGGTTCTATAGCTTCTGAACAGCAGATCTGTGTGCCTCGGGCATCGGACATTCTTGAGCTTACGGTGCGCGACAAATCCATTGCAAATCGAAGAGAAATGTACAAATGACTGTAACTGTGGTAGCCATAGAATACGTGGTGCAAAGGTGGTCGCATCTTCTCGCCAAGGTCCGAGGTGCGAGGGAGTTTTTCTTCTATACAGCACAACGAAGATCATAAACCTCGCGGAAGGGCAGAGGTTTTGGTTGCATTCAAAATCTAGAGTCTTGAGCTTATGAATTTCACGAGTGAATTTGCCCCTACATGGCGATCGGATGGATGATGCGCTGATATACTTTGCGGATATTAGCTAGTTGACAGTACGTGGTAAGTGTGGATATTGCTGATATATTCCTGAATTCTGATGTTGGTTGTTTACAGTGGAGTGGGAACTTCATGCGATGGGTTTCGATCTCTTCTGCGAGAGGTTGCAATTTATGAGTCGGAATCTGAGCTGGAATGGGATGGGAGGATGAAAGTTGCAGTGATTATACGCATGGACTGATATAGTAGACCACGGAGCATTGTCAAGTGAATTAGAGAAGTCAAATTGCACAATCTGCAGGTTCTCATCGAATTTGTGAATCTATGGATTGTGATCACCAAAGAATCCTAGGATCTCGTGACAATTCTCATGTAAATGCAGAAATTCTTTGAGAGACGTCAGTGTCAGACGATGCTTTTCAGCTGAGGAGGAAATTTCAGTTATTAAGGCAGAGGACACACGTAAGAATCCTCTGTAGTCCTCAAAGTAAACGATAAGTCATCACAAGGGGAGAATGTGCCATCTGGGATCAGAACTTGCCGCATAAACCTCATGTGATAGTTTAAATAGAATTCGTCCAATACTTGGTACTATGTAACATCCGTAAGTGTGTTTCCTGGCTCGTGTCAATCCCTAACTTCTTACTCTAAATACGAGAAGCTGGTGAAGTCTAATGATAGCTGCTCATCTTCGGAGCCTCATATCAGTGTTGTGCTTTTCCTTCCCGTTGTGCAGTTCTCACACACTAGATCATCACTATTGAGCGAAATGTTGGCCAGATTTGGGTGCACAAATTTACTCCAGCTTGGGCGCCACCGTAAGAACCTTTTCATTCTTCTCTCATATGCAGAGGGTGATAGAAATAGATGTTTGAGCTCTCTAAATTCGTACTTTTATGGTACATTTTTTCAAAGAATGACAGATGTGCCTTATATTGAAAAGAAGCTCTTGCTTTGTGGTATTCGGAATTGAAGTTTCACACAGGAGGGCCTCAACGAGCTCTAGCAAAGAAGCGCTGCAATTTATAGCACATGGGTTAAGCGCTGTTGTGGAGGCTGATCGTATTCTTCCTTATACGGATCCTGATGACACTCGGGTGCAGCCATTGTTGAAGGTTTGGAAACTTTCATTCACTATGATAGATTATTGCTGCCTAGTGTTGCTTGTTTTCGTCAACGTGCTTTCACAGGATCGTATTGGATATGAGCACAACATATCAGGATATACAAGCATGAATCAAACTTGGAGTAAAAGTGTGATGAACTCGTCCCACAATTTTCGTGTTCACTGACCTACTAGTTATTCTTGGACGTAGTATCATTCATGCAGTGGTCCAATCCGCCAGCTGATCTGATTGTCCACTTGCAAAGCAGAAAGCGAAAGAGAATTTCGAGCTAGCTCTAGAAGTTGAAAACTCAAATACCGATGCAATGTTACTCCTCTCTCGACTTCATATGTACTACCACATACCGGGTGCTTGTCCAGCCAGGTATGAATTTTGTTCGTGTAAATTAAAACACCATCTTTCCGTTTCCGTTCAAAGTTGCATTGATATGACAATTAGCACTTCACCAGTACTGCGTGCGACACACATCAGCTAGTTACATATCTGGTTTATCTTCGTATTACTGCAAAGGCTTGTGCACCTACTTAATATAGCTTGCATCTAGATAGATAACTATGTCCTTCGAGCTCGTCGACATGGTCATGTACATGTTCAGAACGAACACCTCAGGTATTGAGCTGAACCACACTCATTATAGATGAGTTAAGCACTAGCTTTCGTCATGCAGTCGATGTGTAAATTAGCATCTTAGTATATTTTAAATTGATACTAGCCCCCCTGATGCGCATAATCACACTCAGGATCGCTACTCAACGATAACAACTAAGAAGATCTTTAGCTTTCCGTAGCCTGTGCTTTGTTGACGCTGTTCTTCTAATGACAATTCACAACATCCACTTGCAGTGGAGCTGCTCTTCTGGAGGCAGCTGCAGACGCAGGGAACTCTGTGGCTCAGTATGAGCTTGCCTGTCGACTTCGTGCTGAGGTTTTGCTCTAGACTATATTCAAAGTTTTGAAATTGGTGCAGACCCGGCGTATGGCCTTCAATCTATGAAGAGCAAAGGCTAACTCGTACATTTTTACGAGACAAGGCATACTATCGGTGGTTGATAATATCATTCTACATGCTCATGACAAAAGGTTGACAATAAGTAGCGTTATTGTTTTGCATCCTAGAATAATTTCACAGAATGGTGCATGGCTTTGCTACATCTGACCAGGGTAAAGAGTCAATTCTCAAATTATCGAAGACTGAAGATAAGACTGCAATCTCGTTCATTTCGATACTCAGGGTAAACTCATTGGTCTCGGCGATGGTGATGGCATGGATGAAAAAGCCTTCAAATACTTGGAGTTGGCAGCTTGCAAGGTGTTCGTTTTGAACTTAAACCCTTGCGCATTTGCACATTCGTTTTTCGATTATCGATTCCTGTGATTTTGGCAGAGATATCGTGTGGATGAGCATGTGCCCAGAGGTGTCGAAGGATGAGCGTGATCTTTTATTTTTTTGAACGAGTAGGAGGAGCTCTAGAATTACCAATGTTTTGATTGTCTATGAAGTGATCTCCTTTATTGAGGACGGTACGAGAAATAGAAGTAACTGAATTTTTAATCTTCCAACAGCAATGCTGTCAATGCAGAAAAACTAAGTATGAACTGCTTACCGCTGTAGTGTTCTTCAGGTGATAAGAAGACAGCCGGAGAGGAACTTTATGTAGGCTAATGAAGACGAATTTTACTTGCAAACTGATTTTACTCTTATGTGCTCTCTGGATTACTTTGTGCAGAAGCACCCAGGTGCTCTTTTCTTGATGGGTGCAACCTACTTAGGTGGCAAGCATACCAAGCGTGATGTGAAAGCTGCTGCATGGTGCTTTCGAAATGCAGCTGAGCAGGTACTTCAATCTCGTCCTATGGATATCCATCACTCGATACTGACACTCTGGAGGTCGGACTTTCTTCGTGTGATTTTGTCTCTGATTTTATCATCCACTTTGTATCAATGATGTCTGGTTCAAGTTTTGCTCCCAGGTAATTTAGCAAGCTAAGCTTTGAAATATTTTGTGATATCCTTTAACATGCCAATTAACAACTGGAAGTAAAATGGAAAACATTCATGTGGAACGTATTAGCTGCTTCTTTTTCCAAGCTATGGCAAGGGTAGACTACTTTCCAAACAATCACTTCATGGAATGTTCCACGTGTGAACTTACTTATTCTGTACTTAGGTAGATCAGACTGTGAAACCTCATACTAAGAAACTGAGGAGATGTGTTCTTTCGAATTACAGGGCCATACTGCTGCAGCGACGGTTTATGGAGCACTTATGGCAAGAGGTTAATGCTGCACATTCCCCTTCTATGCTGCTCATTGTTTTTCCTCGCATAATCGCAGTCACTCTTTCCCAATGTTCAGAATGAAATTAGTCTAATTTGTAGACGTTTATATACTCAGGGCTCCAAGTTCCGATTGAGGAAAGTGAAGAAGACATGGCAGACCGCCATCCTGATATGGCCACCACGGACCTGCACGACATGACCGACAACGGCGATGTCCATTGCACCGCAGATATGGAAGAAGCTGCGAGATACTACTTTGAGATAGCGGCTGAATCAGGGGATGGTCTCGCTCTCGAGTGGCTCAATAGGATGCCAGCTGCTAAGGAATCAACCGAAAACACCGACCAGCAATAATCAGTGTTAACTCCATGTACAGCTTTGCGGCTTCTCTTACAAAGAAATTTCACAGTTGGTGCTACTTTTGAAAAGCTCTTGCAAGATGCACCGGACTTCCCCTCAAGACCTATGTCTTCCGAAGCTGAAGGGTCAGAAGAGCAAGCCGCGGAAGATCTCAACTAGCCCTTTGTATCCATTACGAACCATTCGAGATTCGACTTCCGAGCACAGCACCTTCAGTTACTTGTGTCAGTTCCTGCAGAGCGGAACAGCGATTTGATAAAAGTGACAGGATACTGAGAAAGTTTCTCGTACATCCTCGACCAACGACATGAAGAAGTGTCGGTGTAGTAGCTTTATTAGAATGTAGTGTTCTAGGCTTCAAAGTGCTTGGGCGACATGCCTTCTGCATTGCATCTCATCAATGGTTTCATCTCCTTTTGCTTTGCTTTGCATCTCGTCAAATTCTCAGGGCCGTCTATTGCTCTCAGTATGGGTGGTGATACTTATGTACACCCTGCCCCACATTGTCCTCTTTCTGTAAGAGTCTGAAAGCTCTTTCCAGCCGTGGACGATGATCCACAGCTTTGGCACGTGCATTGAAAGTGTTAACGAGCCGCACATGACACAACAAACTTGGATGCGCATGTCCTCGACAACTTGTCGAGGAACTGTAGCTATTAAACTTCCAACGATTTAAGTGATCGACAAACTTTGCCCCTAAAAGATGCGGCAGCAAGGTGCTCACAGGTGGACAAGGACACGTGATCACAATATCTCTTTTCATTCTTCGGCTGAGGCTCAGTGTTTCTATGGTAAAAAACCAGATACATCTTTTGTAAGAATCTTTGACAAAGTAATATTCGTTCAGTACGGGCCCTCCAGAAAAATCCCGTGCACCGCAGTGAACGTGTACACTCGCACAAATATTCACGAATCTGTCAAAGAAGCTTAGTGGATGGTTGACTTGTCTGGCTCGGAACTCAGTGCATCCTAATCCTCCTTCAGCGTGTGGAAGACATTGTCCTCGTTCCGTAGGTTCACTAGCACCACGAGGGCTCTCATGTCGAAGACGACAGGAGGTCATTGGCTGCGGTTTCTCTGTGGTTTCTAGTCCACCCCACAATTGGCAGCCTCGGTCATCTACCAAGTGGAATATTATTGATTTCTTCCATCTCTTTCCATCCAAAATTTCATCTACGGACCGACGCCTTCATAGTTCCCTGCAAACCTGAAATTCATGCGTGTGGCCCTTGAGTGGTTCCAGCGCATCTAGGTCAAAAGGGGGCAGACCTCCGAAACCAAGCCTGAGCTCGAAGAAGCCGTGGGGCGTATCATCGGTGGAAGGAGGCGTCCCGACGTCCATTAACTTTAGCTTCACGGCAACAAATCAATGCACATCAATTCTACGCCCAAATCCGATTGGCAGAAACGTGAAGCATCCTTCGAATCCACGGTAAGGTGTGCAGCTGTCGTCGCATCGGCAATCTGAAGAACGCCCCGCTGACGGCGGAAGATGCTGTCGAGAGAAAGCAAACCGGAAAGGGAGCGGCAATTGAGCGCGGACATGGCGCCGCGAGAGGGAGAGGTCGATCGCGGCCTTGGGATTGGATCGGCCCCATTGCGCGATTTGGCGAATGAATGATCGGCTCGCAGCGATTCGCGACTTGGGCCTCTCCAGCGCTTCCACGAACTCCGTCTGCGCTTTGCGATGGCGTCTGCCACGCGGTACTGTGCTTGGAGGTGCACGCACTGCGACTTCTGGCTGACTGCTCGCACCGCCTACCACGTCCTCCATCAACTACGTGGATGATTGTACCACTGGGTGATTAGCGCAGTCAAAGCGAAGTCTGGAAGTGTATGAATGGTATGAGCCCTCTTGTCGGTTCACTCGGCAAAGCAGCCAGCGCATCCATCGAAGTCTTCGTCACTAGTTAGTGAAAAATTGAAGTCGACGAAGCTGTTGAGACTGCAGTATCTCGTACAGTTGATGATCATATAGAAATTCACACCACCAACATGATATTTAAGTCTTCTATCTTCTGATTATCAAATTTATTTTTCATATAAATGACTATAAATTAATTCATAAACTAACTATAATACACGTATGTTGTATAAATATTTAGTATTGGAAGTTAGGTACCTCTCAACAAAAAAAGTTGATGTTTTTCTTCATTTTTTATTCTGCTCGTCTACTTTTGCATCTAGTATGATGGACATGATTATATTTGTGACAATCTGTAGACAAACCATTCTATATCATTTTTTTTAATAACTACTTAACCTTGTGAAGACGAATATTCATATGTGTAAATGTACCTGATAAACAGAAAAATGAAAAAATGATATGGACAAAATTTACTTAGTTGATGATTAACACAGCCAATAAACTTTATAAATTAAGATAGTGAAAAAAATTCAAATTTAAATATACATGGTATATATAAATAATAATATGTTCTTTAAGATTATGTTTAGATTCCAAACCGTTCAATGAAATTAAATTGAACTGGAATTAAATTGTTGTTCAGTGAAGTTGAACAATTCTATTATGACTGATTTCAAGATTCACAATTACTGTGGCAGTAATGTGATATGAACTCGCCATTTCTGTGTCATACAACAGGTCATTGCGAAATTTTTTTATACAGATGTTTGTATAGCATCTTTAGATAAAGTGTACTTTATTCACTTGTAGTGAACTAGTTATGAAGAAATCAAAGAAAGCGAAAAGAGGTAAGAGACCAAAGTTTTCAAAAGGAAGAATCAAAACGGAGATCGATTGCAATCAGGTTGGATCTTGACGATGCAAGGTGGTTGAAAAACTTTGAATGAAGAACACTTGAGATATTAAAAATAATTATCGTATTTAAGCATACATACCAACTGGTTAATTCACTATTAAAGATGTTGATTAATCTAGATTTATCTAAAAAGATCGAAGGTGAAAGCTAATCCAATCTAATCCAAGATGATAAACTCCCGTAATATTCAAGTCAAAGTTTACATACATATGCAATTCTTCTAATTAGTCTCTATACGTCCATGTAAAAGGAGATGGGTATGTGTAAAAGTCGCGGCATATTTGCTAATTATTACAAGGGCCAGATGAAGATGAAAAAGAAGGAAATCTTAGAAGAAAGAAAGAGAAGATGGTCCTCGACGACCTCCGACGAACATCCTCCTTCTACAGCCAGAACGCGCATTCGAGCAACAGATGCCCCGAATGGAAGATTCTCGACTGGACGTCACAGAAATTACATTTCCGGGCGATCGGGGCCAATCTGTGGGCAGAATCGGCGGACGGAATTCACCACTCCGCACGTCGCACTCGTTGACGTTCGTTCGCTGTACTTCCGTTTGTACGAGCTCAAGGATTGTTGTCCTAGACTTGCGAAAGAAGCCACAAGGACTTGTCTTTAATCGCGTACTGTAAACCTTTCCAAGGCTACAGGTTCGAGGTGACTTGTCGTTTTGGTCTCTTCGGTTGGGGTTAAGTGACTCTTGGCCTCCGACTGAAGTCAAGTCCATTTTGGAGCTTACTATGTCCTGCCAGGAAAGTACTACCTCGCTTAAGCGGTGCGGTTTAGAGCTTATCCTACAAGCGAGCGATGGCTGAAGCATGCAATGAAGTACATAAAAACTTGTCGAGGTAAAGTAGAAATGAAAATATTGTCCTATAGATGACATTTATTTTTTTTATTCTGAGTGCCTTTTCAATCTCGTAGTTTACTCTTGAAAAATCAATCGGAGGTTTATGAAATTTTCTCCCTTGAGCAGAACCTGATTCACAATTGTTGTTCAAGAAAGTCTTTATTTATTACATCCGAGAAAAATAACGATGCCCTTATGTTTACAGCATATCGAGCTCTCCTCTGTAGATGTAGATATTTTAAGATCTCTTTGCAATCAAATTCACTACACACAAATTCTTATTCTTGGACACAAACTCTTATTCTTAGAAGTGCAAGGATATATCAACAAGGGATGACTTATCATCCCTTGTTTTTGCCCTTAATTTGAAGATGAACAAAATATCGAAACTTTCACTGATGATCTAGCGGCACCTCTAGCTGGTTAGGTGCGTGTAGACAACAGCAATTGCATTAGCTAGATTTAATGGTAAAATTAACTTTGTGTGAAAGTAACTGCCGTTGGATTTGATAGCACTTCGGGATCATAATTTCTAAACTATATTATATGCAAAAAAATAAATCTTTAAATCTAAAATTGAAATTGGCTCCAATAAATTTTCTCTTATATGCAATACTTTTGAGTATATTGTACTAGCTTTCATTTGAGATTTATATCAGGGCGTGAGTAAAATATAAAAATGAACCTTCAAAAGTTTTGACAAAATCATCAACATACTACTTGACAAGTGCTCACTTGTTTGTATGTTTGTGACTGATTCACATGCACAACCGATGTAAAGCAATCATCTTATGCGCTCGTGAATGCATGGTCTTATTAGATGCATTTATATTATATTTTCATGCATATCATCCACATCTGTTGTGGATAAATTTTATTCAAAAGAGGTTTTATTACAAGTAAATGACAGAGGGCAAAACATTCCATATTCCGTCTTGAGGTTCACTTTTCACGTACAATATTCTCGCATACACAATTCTCCAAACCAAAACAATGTACTTAAATTTCATCTCTAATCTTGATGAGTTTTGTGAAACATTCAAGAGTTCAGAAACTCCTTTTTAGTACTATGCAAAGTTTTATGCATAGTATAACAGATAACGTAGATTGGAATGAAAGTTTCACACGCAACAGTTAATGATATCTATTGCTGAAGATATGACAATGATCTCATAGTAAAAATTATATAGATTTTAAAGAAAAGGTAAAAAATTTATTATTATCACTAGCGTAACAAAACTCTATTGTATAACCAAAAATATTTTAGCTAATATGAAAATTTGTGCACTTTAAAATATCGGAGTAAGATTTGAGTATTTCAAAAGCACTTTAAAATTTCAAGTATGAAGAATTTACAGTTTTTACAATAAGAGAAAAATTAAATTGATTAGACATATTCAAGATATTGATTAGACTACGCGTATGCTAACATACATGTCGTTAAGATTTTGGTCAAGTGTTATTTATTTAACAAAAAGATATATCTAAATTATCATCACTTTACTTTTCATATCATATGGAAACTCAATATCAAATTTGGTTACCTTTTGAGAATCGTCGAAGTTTAAGACTTTGATAACGCAATAATATTTGAAGCAAAGATGTATAACAAAAGATGCAAATAAAAGTGTAGAAAAAGTGGACGAGATTAGGATTTCAAGGAAGATCCGAGCATGTGACTTTTATCATAAATGATAATGCGACACGCATCCAAAACTAGATCTTCCTACCTGGACATAATATTAGATGCCTGGCAGTTAACCTGTCATTCATAGGAGCTTTGTTTTGGACCTTTTTTGGTGTATAATAGTGAGTCGACCTTCGAAGCTGAATGCCCACCGGGTCAATGGAAATGCAAGCTCCATATAGTTTAGTAGACAAATGAAAAGCTCTGAAAGATATACAAACGCTGGCAGGCTGGGGTCAGATCCACTGGAACGCAATCATTGCTGGGAATTGTTGAAAGCTGAGTGCATCATGGTGCATCAGCTGCAGATGCTCCCATGGACCCCAGCAGACGAGAGAAAGAACGGTGTCGCACAATCCCGTCCTGACAATGTGCACTTGTCTGTGCACGAAAACGGTGGGACTGCACCGATTTGCCGTCGAATCCGACCACGACATTAGACAACATCTTCCATCCTTCGTTTCCAGCTTTGCAGCCACCAGCTTTTACTTAATATCCTTCCTCTGATGCCAGCACGTAAAAGATCCTTTGGTGGGTTTGGTGCTCCACGAGAGGCTAAAAACATGTCACCATGATGTTGAGTTATCATGGCAGGAAGAATGTTCTTTCCATGTTTGTAGTAAGAGCTCAATCAACCGAGCCACATAATCCGATCAGCTCCCCTTCGAGAAAAGTCCCATACAATAAGACATACAACAAGACAAGGTGCTTTCTATTACGTGAACGCATTATGATATCATGTCCCTGAGCGCGAGAAATGTCGAAAGAAATTTTGTAGGTGTTCGTATAAAGCTGGTGATCGAGGTGAGAACACGAGGAAACACAAAGGTCATTATCCTTCCCATGGTTGCCTTTAGCTGCTGTAAAATAGGACTTTCGAGTGACTAGGAGGAGTAGGAGAATCGCAACGAGGTACGGAAGAATGATCTGCATACAACGTCGTTTCAAAGTGTCGTCACTTCTCCTGAGGGTCGGGGTATGGAAAAAGGTGGGCGATTAGAGGCCTCTTTGTGGCCCTCCATTTGCAATATGTTGCGTGCTCTCTTCCTTCGTTGTCAACATGTTCTTCCATGTCCAGTCGGTTAAAGCGCACTGACAGAAAACGTACATCAACGTGTCTTGCTCTGATTCTTGTGGAATTCGTAGCTACTTATTTGATTGGATTTTAAAACTTCGTACACTCTCTTTTGATTGGAATGAACTTGCAGTTTTGTGCTCAACCTCTCGTAGATCTCCCCTCGTGGTAGCTGTCGAGGCCTTTCTTCGTTAAAGAGACGTACGGCGTGCATTTGATTTGTGCGTACCATACTTACTGTTGCGATATCTAATGTATAAACCAGTATATCATAGTTTTAGTATTCGTGACCTGCATATATATATATATATATATATGCTTTCAATTTTATTTCATATTGTGCCTAGGCAGAAGAAGATAAAATAATTGAAAGGCTATAAGTTGAATATATCTCATTGGGTCAAGTTAGAGCAGAAAAGTGAAATGCGAAAACGGTTTTTGATCTGTAGAAGACACGGATCAGTTACCCAAATCAAGATGATTCTGTCGTATTTGATAATCAGTTACTTACGCTATATCGGAGTGGAATTTAGTGTTGATGATGTCTACAAGTTGTAGTAGCGGCTCGTGGCTCACACACAACCTTCTGGGTAGATCAGTTACGACTAGCTTCTTGTCTTATGAAGCAATGGACAGAGGAGGTAATATCTTTGCTTAGTAGCTTGAGCTTTCTCACATGGTCTATAGAATTGATTGACGTTCTGAACTCGCAGTGGCCGTTCATGAATCTCCGAGCAAGTCACGGTCGATTTGTCATCTGCACAGGATGCCAAGTCGGTACAAAAGATCGATATATTGGAACAGTGACTTTGTAGGCTGCCCTTATGATTGCTCATCGGTCAAGTTCATGTGTACTAAGTTGGACTCATGTGAATACTCGCGAAACTTTACCTGAACTAACCACGAGCATGACAACGAACTTTTGTGATGGGACGTGATTTCTGTAGGCGGTCCTTATTATTGTTCACATAAGTCCTTAAAGCGTCAGACTAGCCTGCATTCGCCAGAAAGATTGTGCAGGACATACCGCAACTAATCAGAGGAATCACAAGGAGTTGATGTGACGAGATGCGATTGCAGAAGTACACACCTTTTCAGTCTCGTTGATTCTGTGTGGCAGGTGATTAGAAGTCAGTTATAATCAATGTCAAGAGCCTGTGGTCTTTCTCTTTGGACGGTCAAGTCAAAGAATCTTGTTCTGCCGTCTCACAGTCACACGCAATTTGACAATTACGTGGTCCTCTGTAACTATCTTGTCAGGCTAATAATTATGCACAGTACTGTATTCCTCTGCCACATCGGAACATGAGAAAGAAGCGAAGTATATAGCAAGAGAAAGCTTGCCCATACGCTTCATCACTCTGTGGTATTACATGTCTAGAAAATTCAGTTCTTGCAATCGTGGATTGGACGACCATATTCTCAGGTCACGTATGTGCAGAAACAGGTCACTGTCATTCTGGACGCCTCGGGTCGATTCCAGATGACAGGTTCCAAGTTTTGCCAATCAAACTGTAGTGGATTCACGAGTTCCCATATTCGGTTCTCCTCTTACATTTCGCGCACACTTTCGGGCTCACTAGCCAGTTTAAAATTACCATACTTAGACTATCTATTGGTCTCTCAGGACGCGATCTGATTCTTTCGAGAATCCATCGTTGTATGAATAATAGGTAAATTATCATTCATAATTCAGACCACAGACATCTATTTTCACGCTACAAAATTAAGCGAAGACAATACTGAAGACACTGCTGTTGTATATACATATAGAGTTTGCACTCACTAAATCAGGGTTGATAAAACTGTAGTGGTATAAGTCGTCCACTCACCAGCACAAATTATTCGTCGGTTTTACTATTAATTACGGGAGGCCCAATTCCGCTGCCTCGAAAGCAGCTGACTAAAGATGACTTGTGATGTTCACCAGCACACAAGTCGAGACACCGAAGTGGTTAACAATTCACCGAAGATAAGGTTGACGCTACAGCCCCGGACAATGAGGCACTGTAATCAAATTTGCAAACGCTGTTAGTTAGCACCAGTCGGAAAGCACCAGTATCACCCGGATCGGTGTGGTCCCGGGGCCCTGTCTCTGTCTCGTTCCGTTTCCATGGACGCAGACGGGAACGTTCCCAGCACCTGATGTCAGCACACGCGAGCAGCTGCCTTCCCGGGACACTATAAAACGGAGGCTGCGAAGCCTTTCTAAGACAGAAAGCAGTTTGTCATCTCAAGCTTCGAGACGCGTTCAGATCCTCATTACACTAATCAGCTCAACAACCTCGTCGCTTCTTTCCATCACTCAGTATGTCGGGCTGCGGAAACTCTGGATGCCCATGCGGCGCTGCCTGCAAGTGCAGCGGATGCAGGTTAGTGTTGCTCAGCCCTTCTTCTGTAGTAGTTTAGCATCGCGTCCATGGTCTGCAGAAGCAACCAGAGGCTTTCTTCTCCAGGTCCTGAAAGCTTGTGCATCCAATTGTGATTTGAGGGTCTGTCAGATTTCAGTCGGTGAAGGTTGGGCTTTCAAGGTAGTAGAATTGCAGGTTTGTCGAAGATGATTTCCTCTCCGTTCATTGTTCTGGAGTCCTGTCAAATCGAGAAAGGGACTGGAAAGAGGATCACAATTTGTGTTGTGTACAAACCAGAACTTGAATCATAGATTTTCAACGCTCGATCTTGTTTCGTGTCTCCTATGCTGTAAGGCTAAATCGACGCCAAGGTAGAAGAATTCTGGTTCGAGAGTGAGTCTATTTCAGAATTGGTCTATGCCAATTGTGCCGTTTTAGCGAACCTGTCTTGTCCTTTGACTCTCTTTCAGACTCTCCTCATCCACCGCTCTGGGGAGAGAGATTAGATGAGAGTTCGCATAGCAAAGAAACAGCCTTTGCGTTTGTAGTTGAGTTGTTCCTGTGAACTTCTGCGTCTGCATATTCCTTCGGTCCAGCAAGGTCCAAGCAAACTTCAGCTTGTCTGTGGAGTTCTGATGCCGATATTAAGGAAAGAGTCTGTCTATTCGGCCTTAGCAGCCCCAATATCTGCAGTGGAGTGCTCAGACGATACACTTCTGCTCTGTTTCCATCTGCAGTACTCGATCACGTTATCGGAGGGAATTATTCACCTAGCCCTATAACACCTAGACTTGCGTTCTGCTCGATGTCGATTTCTGCTCAACCAGCTAATTCTTGTGTCTTTGGAATGACTCTCCAGCTGCGGAAACAAGAGGTCTATGGATGCTGACTTCAGCATCGCCATGGAGGGCGATTGCAACGACTGCAAGTGCGGACCCAACTGCGCTTGCGCCAATTGCTCGTGCCACCAGTGAAGACATCATGGACTAGTAGTTTGAAGGCACGAGGGGACCAGTCTGCACTATACCCTTGTGCTTCAAGCTACTGTTTCAACGAAGGGACCATAAACTTGTCACAATGCTGCACTGGATGGAAAAACTGTCAAGTGATGTTTGTGGGGGTGTAATTGAGTGTGTATAGATGCCAGCTCTGCTTCGACTCGTTTAGCAGGTTTACGCGGTGTAGACCAGAAAAGTTGAAGTAGATCAGTTCCTGGTGTCCATAGCTTACAGACTATAGTGAACTGTATGTCTGTAAACAACTTGTGCATAAACTAAAAAGTGCCTCCTCGAGTAAAAAGCTTGTACAAATTCTCTTCTATACGGGACTTCTCTTCTCATTGATTGTAGTTCTCCTAGATATAGAATTTTGCATTGAATGATGGCTGGAAACTTCTCTATATGCACTATTGCCCTTGCGTATCCAGATTCTGCGTAGGATCGATCTAACTCATTTGGTGCTGGTAGTCCAACAATGGACAGTTATTAGTAGGTCTGGGTGTGAATCGATATAATTTACATTGTGGCTTGTCAAAAGTACAAAACAATATCAGTAATAGTGTGTCGTTGTGCAGTAATAGTTGAGGCCTACGTGGAAGAAAGATGAAATATTCAAATAGTTTGTGTGAAAGACATTTTCATAAACTGGACAAGTAGATTAGAGGCCAATCTTGCGAGATTTAATCGAGCTGATTCGATGGTTGCGTCAATGTTTTCGCGGTTAAAGAATGGGATCACCAAGTCTGTCAAGGGAAATGTGCAGTATACCCGACATACAATGTGCATATGTGGCACCCAATGTTCCCAATTAGTCGTCGGAGTGATGTTTGAAGATGAAACTTTTTGACCATAGAAATCTTGTTCCTTGCAAAGAGATTTCTCTAGATTTCTTTTGCTTGTTGAACAAGCAAAAGAAACGTACTGTCAAGTCGTCTATGGACAGTTGAGTCTTCTTTTCGCCGCTCTATGTCGTCAAATATGGACTATACATCGTCATTTGCTCACGTCGACCGCATGACAATATTGAACGATGTACTCGAAACCGATTTCATGGACTTTTCATTGTATCAAATGGCGGACGAGCTCTTGAATTCGGATGGTGTAAAACAGAAAGTCAATGCGTCAGTGTTATTGGACGTGAACGAAATCACATTTTGCAACGACATCACATTTTGCAATCAATCCGGACTTGATTAATTTATAGTTATTTTGATTCTGCCAAATATCTAAAGGCCGAATCCGGTGACAATGCATGCGTGGGCTTAATCCTTGGTGCTCTCCACTTTCCCTCGCTTACATCGAATCACGAGGAAGATTCATATGTTTCGAAAGCATCGACATCACTTTCTGTGAAATAATAACACTTCACATAGTAGCCACATCAATGTCACGCGATGTGAGCACATGTGAATAGACCAGAGGAACACACGAAAGGACTTTAACATTAACGTCGGGACAAGAATAAAGTGAAAACCTTAGGAAACTTTCATATTCGAAAGTATGAAAAACACATTATAAATCATCATTCACGACCAAGGAATCCTCGAAGTGTTGATGGTAAGTTACTTCATATAACAACCTAAAAAATTACATTCTAGTTCTAGTAAAGAATAAAAATTCTCTACAATAATTTTATGAACCATTCTAATTTCATTTAGTGCATGAATAAACACATGATATTCATACTCTATATTTTTTATTTCATATAATCTACACTTCATATAATATATATATATCATATATACTATAATCTTTATCCGTTCACTTTTATCAATATTATACCTACGTATTTATTCAATCTCTAGTGTATGAGATCTCATAATCACAATAATATGCCGCAAGAAGATATCTTCACAAGTAGCTAACTTTGTTATGCAACTTTCGAGCTTGCTCTCGCTCAAGTTTAACTTTAATGATTTTTTGATACTCATCATGTAACAAGAAGTAAAAAATTCTTTCTTATGCTCATGTTCCAAACACATTATCACACAATCTCTTCATTCATTACACATATTGACATTTCAAGATACTTAAAACCTCATTCCTTCATTGATGAAACAATTCTCTATACCATGAACTCTTCAAGCTTGATTAAAAGTCTCTACTTTACAGCTCTACTTATACTACTTGAGACATTAACTTAGTAACATGTGATAATTATCTCGCAACTTACTTTCACTAAAATAAACATTAATACTTTTGACTAACTCTCCATCCGTGACCTACTTAAAATTTCTTGAAGCTTTTCAATCCCAAGGTTGAGATGGCGACATGCCATTGGAGTCTTTCAAACTTTTAGAAGCTTTCATTGCCTCTAAGTCAACATTGGTTTTAGTGTAACCAACAACAACATATTACGAAAGTCGAACGTACCATGTTGGGGCTCCCCCCAATCGAAGAAGTAGATCAAGGAAATCTTGTTTGCCTTCCCATGAACAAGGTTCCCGGAGAAGATGATAATTTGCCAAAAGCGCTCAGAAAGACACGGCCACTAATGAAAAACTTCTACATGAACATGGTGAAAAAGTGCTGAGAGTATGAAGTTCTCGTTGAGACTGTCATAGAAGTAGTGATTATAGTCATTTCCAAGGTTGTGAATGAGTCAGAGCTCAAGGACTTGAAGCCTCTCACCATGTTGAACACTGATTACAAGATAATCGCCAAAATTGAAGCAAGTCGACTGCAACAGCAGCTACCGACAATCATCCTTCCACAGCAGACTAGATTCATCAAAGGCAAGAACATGATAGATAATGTTCACCCTCTAGAGGGCTCAAGATGTAACCAGAGTGAATGCCAACAAAAGTATATTCCTCAAATTGGATTTTGAGAAAACGTATGATAGAATCGAGCATAAATACATGTGATGTACCATGAAATAGTGCGGTTTGGAAGAACAGTTCATCACATTGATGAAAGAATTTGCCCTGGGTGCATTCACGGTTGTATATGCGAATGGCTTGAAAATTTATAGGTTCTCGGATGGAAGAGGGGTTGGCCAAGGGTGCCCACTTGCCTCTCAACTGTTCGCACATGCCACTTAGCGGCTTGTGACAGAGATGAAACATAACTTTCACCTAGGTAAACTTAAGGGGTACAGAATCAGAGAAACAATTTTCCTTGATTATTAGCTCTTTGTAGATGATATGGAGATGTTGATTGATGACTTACTATACTCCTTCTAGAAACTTAGAAAAACTCTCACTAAAAATGAGGCTAGCAACAGAATTTGTCTGAATCTCATCAAGTCCTCAATTGTGCGGTTGAGCATGGATCGGCCCTTCGACTAGTTCATCCTTACAGAGAACACTCTGTAAGAAAGAAACATTTTTTATTTTCATGCAAAAAGTACAAATCCACAAATAACTTGGAGCGTTTGTAGTACAATCAATCACAAAACAATAACAGGATATATTCTGCACGAATATGATATCAAAGACACTCGGAGGTTGGGAAATCAAGTTACACTCATTCAAAACGAATACAATCCTCCTGCAATTTATTCCGCAAGCTCAACTCACTTTCTACTGCTCGCTCATTTGTCTGTCGATCGAAAGTTGCAAAAAAATTGAACAACTTTACACACAATTCTTGTGGTACTACAATAGCGAAGGAAAACTGAAAATGTCTCTGGTTAGATGGAACATTCCATTCAGACCCAAATCAAAGGGAGGCCATGCTAAATCCATCAATCAATGCCATGGTTCAACCATGATGGTTACAATCCTGACACATGAAATACATTATGTATTTTCATGTGTGACGGAAGCTCCAACTTGTATGAAACTTCACCAACACAATTCAATATCACAAAAGTACCAATGAATCTAGAGTTAAACTTTGATGTTTTTACAAGAGACAAATTTGTTGTAGATAGCCAAACCTGATTTCCAATCTAAAAAATTCACTCCTCACAGTGAGCATCACCATGCTGTTTTTGTCACTTTTGAACAATCAACAACTTCTCTTTTGCTTGATATAGCCCTCAGTGGATATGTTCCATAAACTCGTTGACCGAGGCTAACTTAGTTGAAAACTCATCTCCTTTGGAAAACTTCACCAAACTTGATGGAATAAATAAGCATCATACATAAGGTAAAATAGAGACATCTTAATGGATGCAATTACAAGAATGTTATATGCAAATTCCACAAGAGTCAAAAGAGTTTTACACTCTTCTTGCTCATCTAATGTGATTTTCCGTAACATATCCTCTACAAATCTATTGGTTTTCTATTTTTGACCATTAGTTTGAGTATGATAAGCTGTTGATATTGCTAAATTGATTTTGAAAAACCCAAACAAAGTTTTCCAAAACAAACTAGTGAAATGAGTAACTTTATCTGTGATTAAGACTTTGCTTAATCCATGATTCACAAAAACAGCATCTAAGTATAATTGAGCAAGTTGTGGAACTATCACTATTTTTGTGGTTGACCTGATGTGAATTATCTTGCTCAATTTGTCCACAAAAATCACCATTGAATCATTGCCTAACAAAGTTTTTGGTAACTCACATTCAAATTCCATGATGACATGTTCCCATCGCTGTTCGGAAATATGAAGAGGCTGTAATAAACCCGCTAGTTTTACTTGACTTGTTTTGTTGACAAGAAACACAACTTTGAACGTTAGCCTCCACGTCCTCCTGTAGTTTGGGCCAAAAGTAAACTCGTTGAATGCTCTCCAAGGTATTCTCCACTCCCATATGACATGCTATGGTTGTATCATGATTTTTGGATAAAATCATTGTGCGTAACTCTGATATTGTGGAATCCATATGAATTGTTTGGAGAACGCCAAACCTCGAGATTTTTCCGCCTTTCTAATTTGTAGTACCCGAGTGATCTCTTCATACTCCTTTATGCATTGTGTCATCTTGCTCCACCAATCATCTTGAATTTTCACTTCTGCAACATGATTCAAACAAGACATGTGTGTTAGAGTATCTAAAAGTTGCTTCTTCCCCTCCACATACACAATCTTCATGTTGAAGCGTTGACGTCACTCTGCCCATCGAATTTGTCGTTTGGACATATCTTTTTGAGTTTTGAAATAAACCAAAGATTTATGATCGGTCTCCACCATAAACTCATTTTCACCCAAATAATGTTTCCAATGTTTGGTTGCCAACACAATGGCTAACTCCTCCCGTTCTGTTGTGTAATAATTTTGTTCCGCCGCCACCAACTTTCGAGAATAGAAAGCAACTTGATGCCATACATCATCCCATCCTTGTTTAAGTATGCCACCTACTGTTATACCTGATGCGTTAGTAGCAAACTTGATAGAGCGGTTAGGATCATACCACTTGAGGATAGGTGCGTGTAACCAAGCATCTTTCAATGCTTGAAAAGCTAACTCTTGAGTTGTTTTCCATCTCCATTTTTGAGGTTTCCCTAACATGGAAGTCAAGGCCTTAGC